ACAATACCCGTACTCGAAAGCTCTTTCAAGATTTGAATGAACAATTATATAATTACTGGTAACACATTTTTATATTATTTTCTCTATTATACATATATCAATTATTACAAAAATTTTGATCTGATTCTTGTTTTTTTCTTCCCCTCTACTCTTTTTTATATGTATTTACAGGCTATCAAATGGGTTGAAAAATATAACTTTACATTTGCTCATTTATTTATGCTTCTACCAGTGGTAGCTGACATTGATTTTAAAAAAAAAAGTTTATATACCAAACAATAGTTGAACAATGACACCATCCACCATCACATTGTTGGCAGCCTGACAACTTACCTTTAAGGCGCCAATGTAAATTATTAATCTTGCAAAGAGGATACATAAAACCAATGGTAAGCTTGTGCCTCCTTTTGTTTGAACATCTGTGTCTTGTCTACAACAACTTAAGTGCTTATTTTTATAACATGAAGTTGTTGCATAAATAATTGTAATTTTTTTTTTTTTTTTTTGGTGGTCATTGGACAGCTGAGCAAAATCCTATCAAATTTTATGAATGTTGAAGAGTTTATTGTGGATGCTAGAATTTTCCCGTGGTCTTCCATATTGAAGTATTATGTCATGAACTCTATTGAGTGCTTTTGTATTTTTTAAGAAAAAAATACTCACACCAGTGGCTGTGGTCAATACAATCATGTAACGATCAACAAAAAATGCCCTGACACAGTCATCTGATCAACACATTCTAATACAATCATCAAATTATCTTTAATACTTCATAACTTGAAACACTATCATTATAAGCTCGATCACATTGTTAAAAATCTATGTTACTGATTAGTTATTTCCATATCACAATTTGAGAACCATAAATCACAATGACCTCGTCACAGTGGACTTTAAAGTAAACCTACCAAACTTTTCCCTGGATCAAGTTGAATCATCTTGTGTTTGTGTACGCCTATCATTTTAACCATTCATTTCATGACAGAAACATTCACTGTGTATGCAGATTTTCTCCCTATTATAATATTGAAAATAAAGAGTTCATTTTATTTATATTGCGAAAGTGCAATTTGTATTTTGCCATTTATAATTTTTAAAAGTCATGTAATTTAGTTTATTTATTAATCTCAAACCAAATACTGTTGTTTTAAAACCAACTGTCAATACTTTAGAATGTTGCTAGAGGTTTTAATTTGAATGACTTTAGTTTGAATATTTAAACATATTTAAATAGAAGGAATACTTTTCATTTATGTTTTTATTTTCTGTTGGCAGTGCGGTACATTGTTTGGTAAAAAAATTAAAAAAAATATAAAAAATCTTCAAACTTCTGCGTTGATTATTTTTTGTAACATTTAACTTTATCATAATTCCCATCTAAGAATGCCCGTAGCTATCTATATTTGTATACAGGTCTAATGTACAGTCCTTAATATTTAAAATGCTCTCCATCATCCCTGAAATGACCTTAAAAATATTGTTGCTACATTGTGATTGATTTCTGTAGCTATTGATGTCAAATGTTAATCTTTTAAGGGAGGTTCACAGATTGTAATCTAATTTCTTAAATAACCAGATTTGATATTTGAATGTTATTTTTTTTGCTGTTTCAATAGCTGGAAAAATTTAAAGTAACAAAAAATACTTTTTTTTTGGTTTAATAATTTTATGATTCTATAAGTTTCAATCATACCTGGTATTTTAGAATCATCATAACTGAAAAACTATATGAAAATACAATGATGAAACTTGGAACGATGATTTTTATGATAATGCTGATTACTCATATAGAGAGCATTTCCATGTAATCAAGATTATTGAGAGTCATGAAAAGTAAGGACATAATTATAAAGAATTTAATTTTATTATATTTATTTTTAAAAAATCGAATGGAAGAGATACAGTTAAATGCTGTCATGAAATCCAAGTAACTATTATTAGCCACATGTGGCTAATATATCAACTCTATCTCCAAAGACAAATAACCTACAACATGCATGTTGTTGAAAAAGCAACCAAACAAAGGAGGGAGAAAACCACTAAAACCAGCTTAGAATCTTTTCTTAAACTTAAACCATTGGATTATATGGTTTGTAAAATATTATTTCTAAAAATAGCAAACATAGGTAAATAAAAGTATATGCAAATGAGTGTAAACTGCAAAAGTTTACGTTTTTAATGATTATTTTCCAGAATTATATTATTATTGATACAAAAAAGCCTAAAAAAGTTTATATACCAGTATATATATTATAAATATATTTGAGTGGTTTAATAAAGATAAAATACCTGCAATAAATAAACATAATAAGTTCTAAGAATGGGTTGAGTTGAATTCAAATATTACTAAATCAACTAAAAGTATACGATGTGAAGAAACACACAAAATATTGTATGACCAAAATTTAAAATGCACTAACTACATAAAGTTATCATAAAGACAATTTAGATTAATACAAAAATTCTCTTGCAATGTAAGATGTCCCCCCTCCCCCTCCCTCCCTTTCCTTGTCGGTCTGATGGGCATCAATTTCTTTTTATTGTGCGTTTTTTTCTTATTCAACGTGTTTTAGCCATTACTAGAATGGTAGTGTGCCCTCTCCCCCCCCCCCCCCCAAGATGTCTGCCACTTCTCTTACTCTTAGCCTCCCTTTCCACGATGTTACTTGTTACTCCACTAGTTACAGCAGTAAGAAACATGTGTGTAGCCATAGCTCCCTGATTGAATTCGCTAACAGCAAAAGCTGTGACAGTTTTTGTTCTGGGTAGGCCAGAAAACAGATGTTTCGGGCATCTATTTCAAATTCTCCCGTTGAGACTTTCAATGATTGGTATTTTGAGTCTTACCCAGACGACACTGCTTTAACAAACTTTGGCTCTGTTAGCCTTATTTAAATTTCTTTTACGTGTGTTGCGAATAGGTGAAACAAGTTAGTTGACCTTTGTTAGATCTCTTGCGTTGGCTCGCTGAAGGAAACACCACAAATAGGACCAATCAAAAAGTAATTTTCTAGTACGGTATTAGTGGTCTGAAAAGGATTGTCATTAGTTGATTTTGAATAATAGAATGTAATATCTTTTAGTCAAAATATTTTACAAGGAAAAAAAAATCGTTTCTTAAGAGGTTTAAAAAAAATATTTATCTCATTATGAATAATTGAATAAGGCAAATGACTGTTTCCTACAAAATATTTAACTAAATTTGCAAGAGACTCGAGTTTTTTAACGAAAAAGACAAAAAAAAATTTCTTACATTCATGATTAAAGAAAATATTAAAATTTCTTTCTTTAAATTTAAATATACATTATTTAATAATGAAAAAAAAAATTAGTTGCATAATTACTGTATCATGATTCATAAAAAATAGATAAAATTTAAAATACTTTCGTCATTGAACTTCAAGTTCAAATATTTGATAGTTTGATTATTTGTCAAGATTATCAGATGAAACTTTGTTCAGTGTAAAATCCTTACCAGTCTTAAGTGCCAGAGATAACAAGAAGACTTTTTTGAATCTACATATATCGCAATCTCAAAAATTAGCTGTGTCTCGGCTTGATTGAAATATGCTATAACGTATTTTCCCGATAAATGGTTGATTTAAGAGGACGAGATATGGTTAACATTCAATGCGGTGGGACAAGACAGCTTGATCCTTTGACGAAAATAGAAATATTGAAAAATGAAATAGGAGAAAAAAAAAACGGATAACAATTTAACCAAACCGTGGATACATGCAAGGGTGTCATTTCAGTTTTTTTCACTGGGGTGGGGGGGGGGGACCAAAACTTGGCCACCTTTTTAAGTTGTTATTACTGTAGGCGCCACAGTAGGCTACATAGCAATTAAAAAAAAAACGTAATTCAGAGAGGAGGGGGGGGGGGCAGAATTCCCTTCCCCGCCCGCCCTACCCAAAATGGATTCAATGTTTATCCCCTTTTCATTGCCTGATTGAAGAGCAATATGGGCCTATCATAGCGGCCGTCCATAAAGAAGGCCAACGACTCGCTATTTTTGTACACCCCCCCCCACACCGTCACAAATCTAGACTCCTCCTCCCCATCTAAAAAACGTCATAATTTGGAACTAAACTACTGTTAAAAATTAACTACTAATTAAAATTTATCTAAAATACTTCACTATTAAAATATTAAATGTATAAAGTGAAATCTTCTGCCAGAATAGATCCATCACAACAGAAAGTTCAAAATCACTGTCAATTTCAGGATTTATATGTTTGATAAAAAATGTGTGACGTCACTTAAAAACTTACCCCCCCCCCCGTGTCCCAAATTTTCACACTTTCTTAGCGCCCCCCCCCCTTACCCTGAACGTGACTTACTTTATTGACGGCCCCATAACGTTTTCTTGTGATCGTTGTATTCTTTAGATTTTAAGCAGAATAATTATTGGTGAAAGAGCCGTATCAGATGCACACTTTCTTGTACGATACAATAGTATCCCACGCCCCTTTCCCCTCAGGACATTATCTGACGATGGGAACACTGTTATCAGCCACTCGACACTGATTAATAACCCAAGATGGTATAAACACTAAAATAAAGATCTGAAGATATGTTTTGATTAACGTATTTTGTCCCACATTTAATATGTGTTACTGTCAAAATGAAGGTCAGGTGTTAATCGGGAAACAACCATAATTAAGAGAGGAAATTTTTTGCATAATCTGGTAGGCCTACTATCAGTCAATGTTGGAAATCAAATTAGGGAAATAGCAACCTAATTGAACAATTAAAAATACAATTATTAATGCTTGAGATATTTAGGTTATACCTACAAGTCAGTAATGTTTGCATTTTTTTAACAAATCAGGTAGAAATATCATTGTTGCAATGTAGTTCTTGGTTCGGAATATCAGTGTGATACTTTTTTCTTGGATAGACATCTGAGTGTGACAAATGAGTTCTTGATTAGAAATATCAGTGTCACAAAATAATTCTTGTGTCTTTAAGCTAATCGAGGTGATATTGGCAGAGAAGAAGCATATATGTTTGTTAAGTTGACTGTCATTAAATAAAATCTTTAGAGATAACAGCTTAAAAGTAGAGGCGAATAAACAGGCAAAATAATATGAATTTGCGATTTTTAACCAATAAATGTGAACACAAGAAATTACTTTTTTTTTTCCTTTTCTTTTTTTAAATTTCGATTTTTACTTTTAACAGAAAGCAAAAAAAGACTTCATATATTAGGCTTTATAGATCTTGTGGAATTCATGATTCATGGATAGGAAAAGAGCGCCATTTTTGTCTTCTTCAGGCATCCAGGTAAAAGGGGCCGATTTCAGTTATTTTATACTCTGTACAAAGAGGACATAAAAAAATCCGTGAAATAAATCCAAAATATTTCCTTAGCTCCCCATAATTCACCGTACTTTCTCGTGCTTCTCCGTATTTCCCGGTACTTTACCTAACTTCTCTGTACTTCCCCGTCCTCCGTATTTCACCATACTTCTTCGTATTTCATCGTACTTCCTCGTACTTTACCGTACTTCTCTGTACTTCCCCGTACTTTACCGTACTTTTCTGTATCTCCCCGTACTTAACCGTAATTATCTGTACTTCCCCGTACTTCACCGTAATTCACCGTAATTCACCGTACTTCTCTGTATTTCCCCGTACTTCACCGTACTTCTCTGTTAGTGTTGAGCATATTTCTCACATAGCATTCGGAGGTTTAGAATCTGCTCAGTAGTGCCCCGTCCTTGTCTGAAGCCCTCCTTTGGTGGGGGGGGGGGGGGGAAGGGGGGGCGGCGTCTTGACTTTTCTCAAGTAATTTGTTCCAAAAATGTTATTAGTGCTTTAGACTTTAGAACATCAGACGAAATATTTTTATGAGTTCATGACAAGGTTCGAATATTAATCAAGAATAGACGTGACGAAAATAACAGATGAAGACCATTCTTCAAATCTTGCTGCTAACCTTTGTTTCATGGGACGGGCTCGGATACGTGCGTGATTACAGACTCCAAATTTTGGAGGAATCGATTTCTAATACACCTTTGATTTCCTCTTTTCAATATATCATAAAGATTTAAGACTCGATATGAGTGAAATTTGACATTCTGCCCCGGTCCACTGTCAATGGTAAAAATTGTTTCAATGGATTTCTTTCCCCACTGCAGTTAATTAAAACAAAACAACGGAAATCTGCAGCTCTACATGCGATACCTGCCTGCCTTGCGATACCTGCCTGCCTTGCGATACCTGCCTGCCTTGCGATACTGCCTGCCTTGCGATACCTGCCTGCCTTGCGATACCTGCCTGCCTTGCGATACTGCCTGCCTTGCGATACCTGCCTGCCTTGCGATACCTGCCTGCCTTGCGATACTGCCTGCCTTGCGATACCTGCCTGCCTTGCGATACCTGCCTGCCTTGCGATACCTGCCTGCCTTGCGATACCTGCCTTACTATCGGTTATTTTCAGCATCTTTTTTTGGACCATCTGTATTCATTTTTTGTCCTTGCGTTCGAAATTTATTTCATTTATTTAAAATTATTTATTTACACCACTTTGTTGTTTTGTTGTGATGTTTTGTTGTGATGTTTTGTTGTGATACTGTTTTGTTGTGATGTTTTGTTGTGATGTTTTGTTGTGATACTGTTTTGTTGTGATATTGTTTTGTTGTGATATTGTTTTGTTGTGATATTGTTTTGTTGTGATATTGTTTTGTTGTGATATTGTTTTGTTGTGATACTGTTTTGTTTTGATATTGTTTTGTTGTGATATTGTTTTGTTGTGATATTGTTTTGTTGTGATATTGTTTTGTTGTGATATTGTTTTGTTGTGATATTGTTTTGTTGTGATATTGTTTTGTTGTGATATTGTTTTGTTGTGATATTGTTTTGTTGTGATATTGTTTTGTTGTGATATTGTTTTGTTGTGATACTGTTTTGTTGTGATATTGTTTTGTTGTGATATTGTTTTGTTGTGATATTGTTTTGTTGTGATATTGTTTTGTTGTGATGCTGTTTTGTTGTGATGCTGTTTTGTTGTGATGTTTCTTTGTTGTGCTGCTGTCTTTTTAATTTTTTTGTTTTGTTGTGATGTCATCACAATTTAAAATCGGACAACTGCGATCAATTTCCGAACAGGCTTATTTTATTTATTCTCAGCACAGTTAACGATTGCAACACAGATTTTAAGAGAGCTACAGCTACACCAAGAGACAAGAGTTTTGTGTCTGAATGAAGAATTTATAATTTTTGTTTTTTGGCAGTGATAGGCCTATGCTCTTGATAGGCCAGAGCTCTTGCACTGATGAAAAGTTTTATATTAATAACTAATGTCTATGAGATAAATGAACTAAATATTTCTTCCCACATTTATGACAGTTACATATATTTAAATAAAAGCTATATACTTAATCAATATGGTGAAAACCTAAAAACTTAAAAACATAGGCCTGGCATGGTAAATCAACCACTGACTCCGACCCACAAATTTATGAATAAATTAAAAAAAAAAACAACATTTTGTTTCAGAAATATGGATTGATTTTTCTAATCGTGTTGTTCTTGACTGCTGCCATACATCATGTTTGCAGTTCTAGCGATGTTTCCAGCTATTTCAGCATAGGGTGAGTTAAGCCCCTTTAGGTCTGTTGGATAGCAACTCAAAACAGATTTCAAACTGAAGATAAACTATCTCTACGTATTAAGGCTCAGCTGAGGCGAAAATTCATTAATATGACAGTGGAAAAAAAGGTGCATTCAGGCTTTAAAAAAAAATTTAAAAAAAAAAATGGGGAGATAACTTAGAAACTTTCGAAAACTTAAGAACACTTTTTTTTTTTTAGCCATGAGCCCTTAAAATATTGTCGACTTGAATGGTTTAAAGAAAGTGGACATTCCTCAAACTAATCCAGAGACTATGCTCTAAAGCAGGGTACCCAAACGATGGCTTGCGATCAGATTGAGCCCGCTGGGTTTCCCCATCCCGTCCCGCCTGGCCTCCTTAAGGGTACCTGGGTAGCAGGGATAAATGTGCAACCGGACGACGTGGACTATCTCATCAACCAAAACATCAGGTCCACACCTCCTAATTGAAATACTTAAAAGTTTACGTTGATGAAAGTTATTATTAATTTCAAGCATGCCATTGTTTTCCCCCTTTGTTTTGCCCTACGAATAGGATATGTGCAGCGGACATAGGCATTCGATCATATGTTTTTCAAACTATGGTCCGGGCCCCTAAAGTGTTTGAGGGACAGTGAACCGACCCCGTGTTTAAACGTTTGAGGACACCCTGCTCTAAAGTTTAAATTTATCAAACATACTTATAAACATTGAAACAAATCCGCGGTTAAAATAGGTGGAAAGGTGGATTTTGTGGGGGAGATATCTGGGGAATTGCCAGGGGAGATGTCTGGGGATAAGTTTTTTTTATATAACTTTTGAAGATCAAAGTGCCCCCGGGTTGTTTTGTTCAGTATACGCCTCTGCAATTCACATGAGTCATTTCAAACCAAATGCAGTTTCAGAGGAGTTCCCGATAATCTGGCCAAGAGGATGAAGTATCAGAGGGACACCATCTCTTTCCAACTGAACAACTTGATGAAGTTGTACGGACAGCAAAATTGCCAGATTCACAAACTAACAATGGTGAGTTGAATCACGTGACAGTTCTTCTGCTTATACGCGTGACGCATACATCTCGTTACTCTGAGCTCGTGATTAGGCAGTGGCATCCAGAGTTATAGGTCCTGAATGGTGAAAGCAATGCACTGAGCGACCCCCCCCCCCCCCCCCCCCCCCCCCCCCGAAGTGCTGAGGGGTATCACAAAGACAAGTTAGAACCCCTATTAAGGCATTTAACACGTACCCATGGCCGAACTAAGAATTACATTATATGGTCAGTGGGAGACATGGATGTATACGCCATAACAACAAACATCCTTTTTTTCCGGTGGATTGACCAAAGTGGTGTTTTTTTGTCCACCATTAAACGTTTCAAATTTGTGTGTGTGGTTTTGTTCCTGTTTTTGTTGAATATTAAATGAAAATTTGTAATGTACAATATCAAAATGTGTTCGCGAGCCATGAAAATCTATTATTCCAGTATAATAAACGTGTATATGTTTGCCAAGTTTTGATCACATATCGTTGTCGTCTTTTTGTTAAGACAGACTTTCGCATCTCAGACAACGGAGGCTGGTGCGAGGAGTCCAGCCGCCCAGGCAGTCGATTACACAGCTGGGATAAGGTAACGAAATAGAACGCAAATATTTGTTTGATTTAAAAACCTCCTTGAAACTCAACGTTTTTAACCTTAAAATTGGAACAAATATAATACAAGACGGTGAAAAAACGCAATGACGTCACGGCTTGTTTTCAAACAGCCTTGAAATAAAAACCAAGAGTTTTAAGGTATTTTAGTTATTATTGAATAATTCTCACACGTCCTAGCTACATTAAATATTTTCTGAATAAACTTCTTTCATTCACTTGTCATTTTAATATACCCCTCAAGATGCCCAGCCATTTGAAGGTGCAGGAAATATCGAACAAGAACACAGGGCTAAACAATTGGTATACATTTTTTTTTACAATACGTTTCGAGAGATAAAGATACAATTTCTTCTTTAGGGATTTTCTATAGCGCTGAGCGAGTTTCTGAAGGGGAAGACGGTGGGCAGTTTTGGAGATGGCCCCGGGGATTACAAGAAACACTTGGACTCACTGGGTCAGATGAAGAGTTATACAGCTTACGATGGGGCACCGTACGCCGAGGAAGTGACCAAAGGATTGGTAGGGCAAACAGTTCTTAATAAACGTTAGAATAAACGTTAGAAGATTTAGTGACCACAGATTGTCAAGATGTGCTTATTTTTGTTTTTGAAATATTAAGTAGGGTAGAAGGAAGTGTAACAAGACAGTCGCTTTCAGGTGCAAATATCCCCTCCTTCCTGAATTGTGCCAGCCACCCCCTCCCACCGTGGACATTGGTCAATTCTGCATGTATCAGATTGCACCGTTTCTTTCAGACAAATTTCCCCAGGGGTGGGGGGCAATGCTGATGATGGTGGGTAATGCCAGTGGCCTTGGATGGGGGCCATTGACCACCAGTGTCGTTTTTTTTCTTTTTATGGAAGGCAGCATTTTCAACTCACTGCACAGTTTTTATATTGGCATGGGTGGCTAAAATCGGCACTAACCATATCCACGCCTTTGGGCAGTTAATCTTATCAACCTCAACTTTGGGTACAGACGACGAGGGCCAACAGGGTCCCTTGCTTAACATCAAATAAATTAATTCAATTTTTTTGCCACCCCTTATGGCAGCGTCTCCCAACCTTTTCTCTCCCGTACCCGTTGATTAGACTCCTATTAAAATATAAATTCTCTCAAAGGAAAATTGATAAAAAAAATCCCAACAATTTTTTTTGCCGTTTTCCGCCATTAAAACAATATAATTTTTGCATACTCCCAAGCGGCCCCCAGGGATGCAAGGAGGGGGCATTTTTAGGAGTTGGGGTGGGGGGGATCAGGGCATCTATCAGCGCGCAAATTAGGCATGCATGACCTGAATGCATTCAAATTGTTGCATGCACAATGTATTCTTTTGGTCTCATATTATTTTTGCCCCACTCAAGTGTAAATAGATAATTGTGTGGGGGAGGGTGAAAGCAGCTGTGGAGGTTGCCTATGGTTCCCACGTGAAAGCGTGGGGGTGGGGGGTGGAAAGACTTGGGAAAGGGCTCACTGAGGCTTTCTCCTTGAGCTCTTGATCCCTTGAATTGCTCCGAGAGGGAGGGTTGTGGCGATGGATGGCAGCCCAAACATTTGACTGGAGTTCATTCCTCAGCTAGTCCCCAATTTTCAAAAAAATATTTTTGTGTATATTCTCCTTTCCCCAAACTAATTTTGTGATTTGGAAACATTCAAAACCCACCCCGGGGGCCCCGGGGTGCTTTAGAAGATCAGGATAAAATAAATGATTATTTGGGGGATAGAGTTGAGTTGATAGTCATGTAAACACTATTTAAGGCATTCTATCAAGCTGTAAATAATGCTATGTGAATCAGAAATTATGTCAAACCTCTACAACGATAAGGACAAGAACTCAAGTCCAAAAGGGTTTTTGGTTTTGTTGCGTGCTTTTTTTCTTCCAAGTTTTCCCATACCTTGTTTCACAATATTCCCTTCTTGATTTCCAACCACGGTTAATCTCGCGATGTCTTGAATCAATTCTCGTAATTTATCTGAAATTCATTTTGCATTTATTTGTGTAAAATACACAATAATATGAGGGAATTGTTTCATAATTTGTTTATTAAAAAAAATTCTTTAAACAATAAAAACTTTTTGAAATAATGGGATAATGTTATGAAGTAACCCATACATCAGAATTAACTTCTTCCATAGGCAAGTATCGTTCTCTCGTCTGTTCGTGCACTCAAGAAATTTAAATAGCTTTTATTTTCCTCAGAATTCTAAACCTCCAAAATACCGAATATACCAAAACTCTTATGAACTACCCTTTATGAAGCAATGAAATAGAAAACCGTTTTCCCCCTCAGGTTGAGTTCCTTGACCTGTCCGCACCTCAGTACGGGTTACCAATTTTCGACTGGGTGGTGAGTGTTGAGGTCGGCGAGCACATTCCGGCCAAATATGAGGATGTCTACCTGGACAACTTGGTCAGACATGCCAGGGAGGGTCTTATAATCAGTTGGGCAACCCCAGGTTGGTGTAGACAACCCCAGGTTGGTGTAGACAACCTAATTTATAACATATAGCTTGGCGGAGTTAAAAAAAAACAACAATACACTTTTCCATTAAGTGGCTTTTGTGATACCTTTCCAGAAATTTATTAACAACTTGATCAAGGTTTGGATTGTTTTATTTTTAAAAAATATAATCTTTTAAAATCCAAAGATATCAAAGATTGTGTCCTTTTAGATCATGCTTTTTCGGCCTTATTATAATCCACGTTAATTTGGCGTTCAAACTAATATCTGTTTTAAAAATATTCAACAGGACAGAAGGGTTTATCCCATGTCAACAACAAGCCCCTGAATGCAGTCATCAAGCAGTTGGAAAAGAGGAATTTCCACATTGACATCAAAGCTGGGGAGCCACTGAGGAACGCCTCCACAGTTTTCTGGCTTCAAAAGAACATCCACGTCTACTACCGGGCGCCACTTTCTTCCCTTGTTGAAGTGGACGCATGATGGTTGTGACGTAGCCTAACAAAAAAAAACCTCTATATAATTTAATTGATCAACTCTATACAATGCCACAATTGAAACACAGGCTTAAAAAAAACACACACACTTCTGCAGACAAGCTTTCAACAAAACACTTCTGTAGACAAGCTTTCAACAAAACACTTCTGCAGACAAGCTTTCAACAAAACACTTCTGCAGACAAGCTTTCAACAAAACACTTCTGCAGACAAGCTTTCAACAAAACACTTCTGCAGACAAGCTTTCAACAAAACGCTTCTGCAGACAAGCTTTCAACAAGCGCTTCTGCAGACAAGCTTTCAACAAAACACTTCTGCAGACAAGCTTTCAACAAAACACTTCTGCAGACAAGCTTTCAACAAAACGCTTCTGCAGACAAGCTTTCAACAAAACACTTTTGCAGACATGCTTTCAACAAAACACTTCTGCAGACAAGCTTTTAACAAAACACTTCTGCAGACAAGCTTTCAACAAAACACTTCTGCAGACAAGCTTTCAACAAAACAACAAAACACTTCTGCTGACAAGCTTTCAACAAAACACTTCTGCAGGCAAGCTTTCAACAAAACACTTCTGCAGACAAGCTTTCAACAAAACACTTCTGCAGACAAGCTTTCAACAAACCACTTCTGCAGACAAGCTTTCAACAAAACACTTCTGCAGACAAGCTTTCAACAAAACGCTTCTGCAGACAAGCTTTCAACAAGCGCTTCTGCAGACAAGCTTTCAACAAAACACTTCTGCAGACAAGCTTTCAACAAAACACTTCTGCAGACAAGCTTTCAACAAACCACTTCTGCAGACAAGCTTTCAACAAAACACTTTTGCAGACATGCTTGCAACAAAACACTTCTGCAGACAAGCTTTTAACAAAACACTTCTGCAGACAAGCTTTCAACAAAACACTTCTGCAGACAAGCTTTCAACAAAACAACAAAACACTTCTGCAGACAAGCTTTCAACAAAACACTTCTGCAGACAAGCTTTCAACAAAACAACAAAACACTTCTGCAGACAAGCTTTCAACAAAATAACAAAACACTTCTGCAGACAAGCTTTCAAAAAAACTACAAAACACTTCTGCAGACAAGCTTTCAACAAAACAACAAAACACGTCTGCAGACAAGCTTTCAACAAAACAACAAAACACGTCTGCAGACAAGCTTTCAACAAAACAACAAAACACTTCTGCAGACAAGCTTTCAACAAAACAACAAAACACGTCTGCAGACAAGCTTTCAACAAAACAACAACTAGGGAGCATTGCCTCTGACGATGGCGTGAAAAAAAAAGGGGGGGGGGTTGTGGGGTGGGCGTTGTCACTTGATAAAAAATGGACTGCTCTAGTACTTTAACCTGCATCAGGTGGTGCTCTCTGGGGATGTGTTCAGTAAAGAAGAATACCTGGACACATTCTCTGTGGCTAATTATTATTAACATGAAATATTTGAGCTACCGACTACTATGGACAAACGCATCTGTAAAAATGTAATTAAATTTTTAAAGAAAATAAACGTGTCTAAAAATACATTTCCCTTTACTCCAAAGATGTGTTACTAGATACTTTATCCACTTGTCCAGTCTTAATAAGTACGATCATATTTGGATAAGAATTTTTAGTAACTGATAATGAGAGATATATTTGTCGGTCACTTTTATACAAAAAACAACAACTGCTAGATGGGATGCTAGATACAACCTTTTTAGGAACTAAACAAAAAAAAGGTGATATTTTGGGAGAATAGGAAAAAAAGTAAAATAACAAATAACTTTGATTATTCTTTCTAAACATTAACAACTTTAATTCTCTACATCAGGCCTGCACAACTCAAAATATAAGGCGGGCCTGCACAACTCAAAATATAAGGCGGGCCTGCACAACTCAAAATATAAGGCGGGCCTGCACAACTCAAAATATAAGGTGGGCCGTACTACTTTAGGAAAAACGTGTGCGGGCTGAAAGATGATAAGACAGGGGGGAAAGCTATTAATAAAATAATAAAGATTATTTATACTCTCCCACCATCTCTCTGATACTCTCCCACCATCTCTCTGATACTTTCCCATCATCCCTCTAATACTCTCCCATCATCTCTCTGACACTCTTCCACCATCTCTCTGATACTCCCCCATCATCTCTCTGATACTTTTCCACCATCCCTCTGATACTCTCGCACTATCTCCCCGATACTCTTCCATCATCACTCCGATACTCTACCACCACCTCTCTGATACGCTTCCATCATCTCTTTTATACTCTCGTCACTGGTCCGCCAACCATCATCTCTCTGATACTCTCCCACCATCTCTGATACTCTCCCACCATCTCCTCTGATACTCTTGTTATTTTGGTGAAACAGAGAATCAGTACTTAATGATACTTCCAGACATGATTCTTAAAGATTTTTACTTTTCGTACTTTCTAAGAGGTAGGCACGGCTTCAGCAATTTTGGCGCCCTAGGCAGTTCAAAACTTTGGCGCCCCAGGCAATTCAAAACTTTGGCACCCCATTATCATGCACATTTTAAGGTTGATAGCAACTGTTAATCAGTCAAAAGGTGCTGCTTGTAAACAATTGAAAATGAGAGGTTTAAAAGAACAGTCAACTATGTATAAAATGAATATTAAAACTTAATTATTTTTTGATTAAGTATGGAAAAAAAAAACGAATATGTTTGAAATGAAAAAAATGGCTTTTATTGAAAAGGCGTAGCTCTGAAAAGAAACAAATTTTATTTTCAGCATTCAGTTATCAAAATACAATTTAGGAATAAAAATAAATATACTACTTTACAAGAACAGAGGAACGAAGAGGGTGCATTACCAATACCCCAGAGGAAAAAAGGCTCAAAGGGAGACCTAGGCTTAGGTGGATAGATGATGTAGAAAAAGATCTACAGCGGCTGAGCGTCCAAGCATGGAAAAGAAAGGCATTAGTTAGGTCTGAGTGGGAGGAAGTGGTGAGGCAGGCCAAAGCCCCACATGGGCTGTAGCGCCAGAGGGATGGACTTTACAAGAACATTTTCTTCATTTTGCTGTAGCTAAACCACTGATGAAATCTTTATGATCTGTGGACTGGCAACACCATTCAAAAGACGGCAAATCCAAAGAGCAGAGATTTTTTTAGCTATACAAGTTCTTAATTATTTGTTTCATTAATTTTAGTTTAGAGAAACTTATTGCACCAGTTGCCACGCTGACTGACATTGCCATCAACATTAGAGGAGAAATTACTGTTTTACGAAAAAAAAACATCCAGGTCTGGACTTGACTGTAACATGTCAGAACACTCAGTGGTGATTCATTGCGTGGCAGCATATTTAGCATAACATAGTAAGTAACTCTTTACACTTAGCATAATATAGATTCATCAGTGTCTGAGATATTCCAATTTGTTAGCAAATTCCTTATGAGATGTTTGTAATCCTAAACAGAAAAATTGTTATGTTTTTTCATTTGCTCGAAAAGTCAAAGAAATAATAACAGTATCAACTTTGACATTGAACATTTCGATAATAGTTTCAATATCTTCAATAAGTTCACCATTATGTTCATAATCCATTATCTTTTCTTGCAACTGAAGCCGTCGCGTGGTTCCGGAAACCCCTGAGGCTGCACGAGGCTGCACGAGGCCTCAGATATTTAAGTGAAACACATTTTTCAAGTGGATTTTTTAACTAATACATTTTAATGCATGGGCGTAAAGCCAAAGAGTGGCCCCCCCACCACCACGGGGGGGGGGGGCTCTAAAGGTCATGCGATGACCCTACGTACGACCAACCTCACTGTATGATAAAAAAAACTGGTTCAATATCAATAGTTTCATCAAAGCCTTTGTCTCTGAATGGATTCAACACAGTTTTGTCTCTGAATGGATTCAACACAGTTTTGTCTCTGAATGGATTCAACACAGTTTTGTCTCTGAATGGATTCAACACAGTTTTGTCTCTGAATGGATTCAACACAGTTTTGTCTATGAATGGATTCAACACAGTTTTGTCTCTGAATGGATTCAACACAGTTTTGTCTCTGAATGGATTCAACACAGTTTTGTCTCTGAATGGATTCAACACAGTTTTGTCTCTGAATGGATTCAACACAGTTTTGTCTCTGAATGGATTCAACACAGTTTTGTACTTCTTCCATATCCGATAACCTTTTAAATCCTTTTAAAAAATAAATTAAAGCGAAATATAATTAGTAAAATTAACAATTAAATTGTAATAGACTAATGACGTCACAATATCTAATGTATTCGTATGTGATGACGGTCTTATTTCTGCATGTTCCATTGCCCCTCTCCCCCCCAAAAACCCCCCAGTTTTTAGCATTTTACTTAATTCATTATTAATGAATGCTTTTTTCCCCTTCTATATCTTGAGGGCCCACGATCAATGTATGAATCATTCTGGCTCCTATAATTATCATCTGGGGCAAAGTGCCATCATGACTCCTTGCACTGGGTATTCAACTTTCATCTATATCAAAGAAGCTTAAGAATATGTATTTTGCTCAGATCAGTGTGCTGGGTAAACCCCCCCCCCCCAACCCCGTTTCAAATCAATAAATCGTCATTGAAAATATTTCAATATCACAGACAGTGCATGTTCAGCAGAATCACTCGAACATTTCGACAGTATCACATTTAAATTGGAACTGTGATTTATACAGTCAAACATTCAACAAAAATAACAGAAATTTCAATGAAAGCGATGATCTTGACTTGAGAAACATGAGGTAACACCGAATCCCTTCAAAACAATGGTTCCTAGTCTTTTGAAGGTCTGGGATGCTGATAAGGTTTTAAACAGCTACCCAATATTTTAACAAATTAAGATTATGAATTCCAAATAATTCATTTAAATAGTTTTAATACCATTGAGACTCTTTTGCGATAGAATGGAAAAATGACCAAAGTATCAAACAGTAACGAAATACTCTTCATTTATCAAAGAAACAAAACAAAAAATACATAAAATAATTCCCATACGTTAATAATTTACATTCTTGGAACTGGAGCATAATGACGCCCCTTCAACTTGACGCTCTAGTCAGCTACGTCCCTTTCCTGCCTTTAAGCCCGCCCTTGCCTCCCTTGCTTTCCCCCCCCCCCCCCCCCCCCCCCCCCTATCTAAGTGTTGTGTTTTAAAACCAAGCTTTTTTGGGGGGGCCTCCTTCGGGATGGTTTACCAACCCTTGGGTTTACCGCACTAGATTGTCACAGTCCCTCACAACATACCCCACACACTGACCATGCCAGTCAAACACCTGTCATAAT